CAAGAGGCCCAAAGGCCTTAACAATCACCTGAGTATAATGTAATGATCCATAGATTAAAACAAAATAAGCTGATAAATGAAGCTATGTTGCCTAAATGCAAGAGAAATAGGATAATCAAGGATGCCAAATATTCCATTTAGTACTCAGTTACAAATCTTAAAGTTGATCTATTTATTTGCCTCTACTTTCCCCCATTTGTTACTATCCTCATGCAGACTAAACAAAACACTAGTTCAAGAGCACTATTAAATAACACATTTCATTCTCCCTCGCAATGGTCTCTCTTAGTCTTTGAAGATTATTTTGATGTACAAAGATAAGGTATTTTTGTCTCATTTTCATTTATCTATTATTTAAAAGTCTCTCTGGCCATTAAAACTACGAAAGTACGTTAGTATTAAATATAAAAATTCTTGTATAATTCTGTTATTCAATTGACCTTTTCAGTTACATTATTTACAGTGATTAACTATCATAGGTGAATAACAAAAGGAAATAACTTCTTTCGGTAGAAATTTATAAATTAACCAAAGGGTACAAAATTCAAAATCTGGTAAAACACCCTTGCTTATTACAACATCGTATACTCTGTTTGCCTCCTAGATGCCAAGGAGCAGAAAAGATTTTCAAAGAAGTAATCCATTTTTAGCTTTATTTTCAATATAGCCCACCCCAATACCAGAGCCCCTGACCCAGGGGCGAACATATTCGAAATTTTGGAAAGGCACCCTTGCTCATCATAAATATGTACTTAGTATGTACCCTAACACCAAAATTCATGACCACGAGGTTATGAATTTCAAACTTTCTGAAAAGACATCCTTGCTCACTATAACCATGCAATTAGTTTTTCTGTTGAAAAAAGAAACAAAGATTTTCAAAATTAAAAAAATTCATTTCCACTATATATTCAATAGACCCAAACCCCCACATGAACTCTTGACCCTGGAGCCACAATTTCACAATTTTTGAAGAGGCATCCTTGATCATCATAACCATGCACCTAGTTTATCTGCTTAATACCCAGGGGCAGAGATTTTCAAAGAATTTATGCATTTTCACTAAATTATCTATAGAGCTCCTCCCTAACATCAGAACCCCTGACCCAGGGACCAAGATATTTACAATTTTGGAAGAGGCGCCCTTGCTCATCATAACTATATACTTTGTTTATCTGCTAAGTACCTAGGACCAGAGAAAAAAGATTTTCAAAGAAATATTCACTTTCACTATATAATCAATAAAGCCTCCCCTTTCTTGCAGAACCCCTCACCCTGGGGCCACAAATTTCACAATTTTGGAAGAGGCATCCTTGATTATCATGACCATGCACCTACTTTATCTGCTTTATATACAGAGGGAGAGGAGAAGATTTTAAAAGAATTAATGCATTTTCACTATATGATCAATATAGCCCCGACCTTACACTATAACCCCTGACCCAGGGGGCAAGATATTCACAATTTTGGAAGAGGTGTATTTCCTCACCATAACTATAATTTTGTTTATCTGCTAAATACCTAGGTGCAGAGAAGAAGACTTTCAAAGAAATATGCACTTTCATTTTATCATCAATAAAGTCCCCCCCCCCTCCAGGAGAAACCCTAACCCTGGGGCCAAAAATTTCAAAATTTTATATTCAATATAGCCCAACACTAATACCAGATCCCTTACCCAGGGGCAAAGATATTCGCAATTTTGGAAGAGGCATCCTTGCTCATCATAACCAAGCACTTAGTATATTTCCTTAATAACAATGGCAGAGAAGTCCTACCCCTCAGACCCCAGGGGGACAGGGACCATGAATTCACAATTTTGTACCCCTTCACCCATCGATGCTATATGCTAAAATAGGGTGAAATTGGTTCAGTGGTTCAAGAGAAGAAGCTGAAAATGTTCGAAAATTTGAGACCGATGGACGACGAGGGACGAAAACAGATAGCAATAGGTCACTTGAGTGACCACAGGAATTTTGAAGAGGGCACTTATGATCATCATAACTGTGCAATTAGTTTATCTACTAAATACTCAGGAGCAGAGAAGATTTTTCAAGAAATAATACATTTCACTATGTATTCTATACAGCCCTGTCCTAACACAACACCAAAACCCCTGATCGAAATTCCATGTAATTCACAATTTTGGAAAATGTCTATTCACTTAGTTTATCTGAAAAATACCCAGGAGCAAAGCAAAAAGATTTTAAAAGAAATAATGCATTTTCACTTTATATTCAACAGACCCCCGGACCCCAATCTGAACTCGTGGCGTTGGAGCAACGAATTTCACAATTAGGCATTCCTGATCATCATAGTTTACCAGCTAAATACCTAGGATCAGAGACTTTCGAAGAATTAATGCATTTTAACCATATAATCAATAGAGCCCCGCCCTAACACCAGAACCCCTGGCCAGGGGCCATGAAATTTTGGAAGAGGTATCCTTGCTCACCATAATTATATACTTGGTTTGTTTACTAAATACATAGAGCTGCAGCAGAGAAGAAGATTTTCAAAGAAATAATGCACTTTCACTATAATTAATATATTCCCATCCCATAGAACCCCCACCCTTGGGCCACAAATTTTTACAATTTTGAAAGAAGCACCCTTGATCATCATAACTATGCACCTACGTGTACTTTATCTGCTTTATATACAGAAGAAGAGAATTTTTGCTCCTCTTTACTTATAGATGTTCCATGCCAAAATTGGTTGAAATAATTGGTTCAGCAGTCTCAGAGAAGCTGAAAATGTTCAAATGTTAAGGCATGACGACGAACGGAAACAGATAGCAATATGTCACCTGAATGACTCAGTTGACCCTAAAAATGTAGTGTCAGTCGATTTAAATCAATACAATAAAAGAATAAGTGAAAGTACAAAGGATCGTTATATCTTTCCAAGGAAAATGCCACAAAGTGATATGCAAATCTTTTGTTCGAGAATTACTTCGGTTTTTTTTTGTAAAAAAAATCTATCCATGGTTAGAAAACAGATTGTCAAAAAAAAACCTTTACTTCAGCTCATTAACATGCAGCCATTTTTAGGTAACGTTCAAAATTCACCGGGTTGTATAAGTTTAAAGCCTTGAAGGCTAAGATACATCCCTGAAAAGAAAAAAAAATGCTTATCTGTATATATGAAATTATGCAATAATATAAGATGGAAGGCATTTTTAAGATAAAATTTGAAGATAATAGACAGTATTCATGCTCAAAGTCCAATTTAATTTTGCAATACAAATTTTAGTAAAGCAAACACGGAGCTCTGAAAACAGAGGTGGGATCAGGTGCCATGCAGAGGTGAGCATCCCCTGTCGACCGGTCATACCCGCCGTTTGCTCAAAGAAAAATGCCTTTGAATTAAATAAAAAGTTTATGTAAAGAAAAAAATAAAATGCACTGTTACATGAAATCATTAATAGAAGATGCCTTTTAAATTAAACAATGCCACACAAGAAATGTATTATGCAATTTGCAACAATCATTCATATTAAATAATTTTCTTATCAGAAACTAACACAACTTTCTTCTTTTAATCATAGCTAATTTATGGATTCAAAAGTCAACGAAAAGCCTGACATTTATTTTATTTACACTCTATGAAAAGAAAAGGAGTCGTTATCTAGATATCATCTCTCATCATTCACTGACCGATGTGCAAATGAAAAATTAATCTCTGCGACATACGTGATATGTCGTTCACTTGCAGTTCATTAGAGAAATCATAAACCCAGAACACATTCAAAAGGTTATATTGTCTAGAAAAACTTTGTAAATTTTTTACCTTATAGTATTTCTCTTTCCCTCAAATTGTTTTCTTTTCTTTAAGAAAGGAGATGGGTGAACAAGGCAGCAGAATCCCTATAGCTTCAGGTATATAAAAATCATAATTAACAGTGCGACATTTAACTCCGGACACGACATTGTCAAGACTTTTTACTACCATTTCTATGTGTTATGTCCAAAAATAAATTATAGCACTTGTTGGGATTTCTTAGCAGTATCTACGGGTCTCATGTTGAACTCTCAAATATCTCTTTTTTTCTTAAAGATATGAAGTCCTAAAAGTCAGAATCTCATGGGAGAATGGTGGGATTTTTAGTAGTAACAACTATCCCACCTTTCTCCCATGGGAGAAAAAGTGTCAGATGGGATTTTTTTCTCCCACAAAGTTGCTCAAATGGGATAAATCCCACAGATATTGACAATTAGTAATTTTCTCCGATACATTGTTAAACATGGGGTATATCCCACAGATTATGATAATGATATCTCACTCATCATAATCTATGGGATATACTCAATTTGTGAATTTAGTATTTAGAGGTGAAGTTAATATCATTAAAATTTATGAAATTGTAATAAACAACACTTTTCTGAGGGAAATTTTCTGAGCATTTTTTTTCTAATGTTTAAAAAATGATGTGACCAATTTTTCATCGGGAAAGCATGACGATGTAATATCCCTCATTATGCTGTATATATATATATATATATATATATATATATATATATATATATATATATATATATATATATATATATATATATATATATATATATATATATATATATATATATATATATTGGCAACCAACGGTTGGTTTTTGTTTTATACGTTGATGTATATTATCTACTTCTCTATACAGATAAAAAATGAAAAACATAATTTTAAACTGTGTTTATTTTTGAACATATTTTTTTCTAAATAGAATTTGCTTTAAAAACATATAAAGCGCATCATGATCACTCAATAACAAATTGTATTTGCTATCTTTCTTCCTTCTTTCTTCTTCAATAATGTAAGAATTTCAGTCTTTAAATTAACATCTAAGTCTCTGTTCATTATAAGCCCAAGGAGAGTACTTAGATATGCCTTCGGTCAAAATCCCCATTTTCTTTCCAATCAGCATTCCTCGTGTTATTTTTCGAAGACCAGACTTCGATTCACCTTTCGTAGGTACGGTGTATATGATCAGATTCCTTTGGAAAGAATCATGCAAACTTACTCAGTTTTCTCTTCAAATGACAATTCATGAAGATACGGCGGAAGAATGAGGAATTTCTTTTCTTGATTTTCTGTGCAATAGTTGCAACACAAGAAAACAGACATAATACCCCAGCGTTATCGTCATAATGACTCTCAAAATAGTCATGAAGTTGCATTTCGGACGTAACTTTAATAGCTTCTGTTCTGGAAACACCTCTAGCTTGTTTTTTGTTTGACATGATCCCTACGAGAACAATAGGGATGGAGTGTCCAAAAAATTGACGAATTTCAGGAATCCACACGGTTTGAACATTTTCAAAAGAAATTCTTTTCTGGACATCATAGCAAATGATGATGACATTACTGTCCTTGAGAGCAAATCTCCGCATCCGGTCGAAGTCATGCTGTCCTGGCAAATCATAAATGGCAATATTGGTTTTCTTTCCTCTACAGAATGTTTGACCTGTAAAAAGAGGTATATAAGTACATGTACATTGTGTATAGTAACAGAAATGCAAAACGAAACATGTATAACGTGTTAAAACTGTTTTTTAAAAAAACTTACCATAGTAATTGTCAAAGATGGTGGGAGTATACTTCGAATCGCCCTTCTCTCCAACAAACACTTTAGACAAATAAGTTTTGCCAACCTTAGCATCACCAACAATAGAACACTTCAAATATGAGACCGGCATCTTTGTATGATGTTTGTGAATAAAGATTGCTATGCAACCCTCTGAATTTTATGGAATATTGTGTTTGTGGGCGTGTCTTTCACTATCGTATTTAAACTACAAGAGATACTAACAAAAGGGGTGTAAATATCTTATTAATGAAATACACGTAATGACATGCATATGAAATGAGGAGCAGGAGTAATACATTGGATTACTTGCAAATATCTTAAATATCACTGAAGAGCATTGCCAGCTTATCTCATCACAGTTAACTGACACATTAATTATTAACTGTTATAGACAGAACAAATTTGTCTCTCACATTCCCGTTAGTTCGAAACCATGCCTGCTGCGATTCTTCAGTCTCTAAATGGGTACTTTGAAATCCTATCAGCTTGGTAACAAAATTGGGTTTACTACCGATGGAATGTTGTCCCATGTAAGAATTATGTATTATCCATTTTCTCCAAGAACTGCAAATTTCTGGATAATTACCGTTAAAAAATAATACATATATTACATTTACATTACAGGAAAGTTGAATAAACACCAATGTGGGTTTACTTTTTATAAAAAATTAAATAAAAATTCATTAAATAAAATTAGAATTCAATGCAAGTTGAATTCATATCTAGGTATGAAATTAAATGCATATATACATGTGTGGACTATATACGTGGACATAAAATCCTTAGAAAGTAAGTTTTTACTAAGTACAAAACATACTAGTGGTCAGTATTTAATCTGCATACAGGAATTAACGAATCAGTACTTCACGGACTCAATTGACTAAATAATTTACGCAGTGTAAACGATTTTTCATCAAGCTCGAATGGTCTGCGTCGCAAAAACGAAAAATAAGGGGGGGGGGGGGGGGTGTAGTCAAAAATTGCCTATAAATCTACATTTAAATGCGCTTTATATTTGAGAAATTTGATATTTTATGATTTTATATAACAATTTTAAAGCAAAAGATATTTTCAAACTAGGAGTTTTTTTTATGTGTATTTGTAGATTCATAGCATTGTTATCGAACCAAAGTCTGAAAGAAACGTGATTTAGGGAGAAAAGGGGGGGGGGGGTAATTTTCCGCCATAAATTGAAAATGAGTCGTTTAAAATCATCCAGAAAAATATATTATTTTTGCAACCAGCTACATCAAAAAAATATTTTTTTCAAAATTAAACGATAGGTTTTTTCATAAAAAAAAATATCTAAATTGAAAATTACGCATATTTCAAGGCTAAGATGAACCATCGTTTTTCAGTTTGAGTTCTTCAAAAAAATTCTGTCGATATGTACTTCTACTATACAGAATTAACTTATTTATGTGTTTAATGGTCAAAAGAATAAGTCAATGAAATTTGACAGCCGTGCTATTCTGACTTTTTTGAAAATGAAGGATTTTATAGTTAGTTTATAGAATACTTTTTTCTCCTCCTGAACAGACAAAGGGGAGTAATTTTTGGAACTTCCTGTCCAAATATGACTCGAACGATTTTATCGAAAATGTACATACTTATAGTAGATATAGTCATGTATAAAATATACAAAAATAAAGAAAATTAAACGACAGAAATGTTTGGGGTGGGTGTGTTGTACATCCTTAAATATTGGAAACAGAGTAAAACTCATTGTTATTGTTACTTACGTTATAGATCTACACTAGTCATGAAAAAGGTGATAACGAACAGCGACCGATCTTAACAAAAATTACAAAGCAAATATGTGAACAAGGCATAAGACACGGAGTCCCGGAAATCAGAGCTGGGTTGCTCAAAACCTTGGTTAGTGCTAACCGCTGGTTAAATCTCTTATCCAGCGGTTAACTTTTAACCACTGGTTAAATTCTGTTGCTCAGAATTTATCCACTGGTTAACTTTGCTATCCAGTGGTTAAATATTGGCCAAAGTTAGCCAGTCCACCGAGGTGGGTTAAGTCTCTTATCCAGTGGATAATCATGGCTAGCTTGTTATTGTTTTTTAGTAAATTTTGGAGGATAAGAAAAGAAACAAAGGTTTATATGCATTGTAATCATTAATTTAATGTTGATGAGTACTATAACAAAGACACAGTCATTTATAAGTCAAGTAGAAATGGCTTTGCAGCAATATGGAAGAGGGGATTACAACACTATCAAAGATATGATAGGATTTCATGTCTTCAGCATCAGCATGTGTTTCGAATGGGTTCTTTCAAGGCTAAAATTGTTGGTGTTGCAAAGAATGTCATCAAGTGGCCCTCCCCTACCTGCTGATAAAAAGATGATATTGAATATATGTATGTATAAATGGATAAAATTGTTTGTCATTTGTATATAGGCTTAATAAGGATATCAATAAATTGATATATTAGTTTGGTAACCAAACATAAATTATTAAAATACATTAAAATAAATTGGGAATCGACACCCCCCCCCCCCCCTCTTCAAATGTCTTGCTTATTTATTTAATCATTTTTTACAATACTAATTATCATTCGTTTGATAATGATTTTTTATTGGCCCCATTTTGTTAAGCTATGTTTCTTGCCTAATGCATTAAATAAAGTGTATATTATTTCCTTTGATTTTACATTCATTTTGACTAGGTCCCTCTGTGATTATAAATAAATAAAAATGATTAGAAAAAATGATTTGCACATTTGATATTTATTGTTATTAGATATCTATATATAGTCCTTTATTTTCTCTAAATATTGATATTTATTAAAAGGTTTGGCATTTATGTAATAAACTTTGGATAATACATTTATCATTTTAGTTACACAGTGTATGGGTTCGGAGCGAAATGCCTAAGTGACGAACCCACTTTATCTATGTCTTTCTGTTATTTACAGAAGTGCAAATAGTAGTGACTACCAACTATCGGTGATAGTAAGACAGATATAAATGTGGTGAAAGTTTATTATTTCTTTGTAAGTGTTTGAATTGCGTTCCCTCTGGCAAGGTAATTATTTCAGGTATCACACCGGTAATTGTTTTCACTATGTAATTCTATATAGAATAAAAAATCATTAAAAATCAGGTATTCGAATTCATGAAAAAATATTTAGCAGGAAGTGTTAAACGTTACCAGTCACATCAGCTGACACCAAAAATAGGGTACCTACATGGCATTTTCTGATTTTTTCCATCCGCAAACAGGAATACCCTCAAAACCACGTGTATTCAATGTGTTTATAAACATCCTGTGTGCACCCCAGGAAGTGGCCTCCTATGCCCCGAAAGAAATAGTTCCTGTCAAAAACCTTTAATATTTTACAAAGTACATAAAATACCCTAAGCACAGATACCGAAAATGTAAAAATAGAATAAGGGAAATCAAAAAATTTCTCACAATAAAAAAAAATATTTCTTTTATTCTTTATTATGTATGGAACTACAATTACCGGTGTGATACCTTGAAGGACCTTTGAAGTTGTCAGATTTTTTTCATTTTTGCACCTGAGATTTCTTAAATAACTGTCACTAACATCCTGAAGTCTGGGGATCTAATTCTCATTATTGCTGGAGATATGATGCATTTATCTCCCTTACTCCAGAGCAGTCAAGAATACACACTGAGCAGTCTGACAAGAAGTTTTTGTGCATATTTTGAAGCAGAATTTCATCCTTAATGGACTAAGCCTGGCAACCAATTTTGTATCCGTGGAGAGTATATGCGTTGTTCTTCACAACAAACAAAAAATAATTCACAAGTCTGGGACCTTTATGCAATTATTACATAACAAAATTGCATTTTACCCTCCTAAGAATGACAGAATTTACAGAAATTGTTAAATATTAGGCTGATAATAAAATCTGCATCTGGTCAATTTATGTTCCAAATAAAGCCTAGGTACTTGTCTACAACCTGCTATGCAGAAGTTTATCTAAAAGCTGTGTTGTAACACAGGGCAGTTCAAATGATATCAGCATCTGGGGAGGTTCTGGACAGCTCTGACACTCCATTAAACTTGCTTTGATGATAAGAAAATGGAGAAAACAATTCAGATGTAATTTATTGTTGTGATTTATGTAACTAGCTTTCGCTGCAGACACAAATTAGCCATGAAATTCCAATTGAACATACATAATTATCCTCTTTTCATTGAATTACTCAGGAATTTTAAAGGTGTTGGATGAATATGCATGATTAATTCAAGATTGCAGCTTTTTGTTTCACCAAATTTACATAAAAATTCAACATTTAAATTTATAAATATAAATCTTAAACATTTTTATTGGTCTTAACACTTTTATATGTGAATAAAGCAACAAAGAAACTAACATCAGGCCATCCTCCCTGATTCTTGGAGGTGGGTGGGTGTACAAAAACTGCTGATAAAATTTATAGGATGTGACAAAAGAAGAACAGGGCACTCTATTAGCTGAATTATGGTTATTCTGATATTTCGATTGTGTAAATATGTCAAATTTCTTCATCACTTTAATTTGTAATTTATTAATATTTCAATGCATTAATGTGCTTAACAAATCATGCTAAAATAAACATCCTGACTGAGACTTTATTTAAAAGAGAGGGTCAACACCTACATAAAAGTGGTAAAATGACAAAAAACATTCTCCGGCAAACTGAAAAACCTTGAATGTCAGCTGCGAAAGCATGGAAAAAGTCTAGAGAAGTATAAGAGGCGTACCATGGTGCTAAGTGACGTTCTGTACTATATGTGTGATGCATGGTTGGAACTCAGAATAAGTATTCACTCTCATGCCCTGACACTATTTATGCATTTTTGATCATAAGCATCTTAATTTTGAAAAATTCTTAATAAATTTTATTTGTGCATTACTTTTATTAGACAAATTTAACTCATTTCATTATTCCTCCACTCCAGTAATAAATGAATCACTTAAGGTGAATAAAATGAAAGTAAATCCAGTCTTTGTAAAATTTAACACTTTTGAAAAACATGTTTTACTTCTTCACATTTTATCGCAGTTGTCGCTTTTGTTGAAAACTCATTCGCAAACCCAGAATTAGTCTTTTCTTGAAAAAATCAGCCTAAAGTGCTTTTACGGCAAAGTCTGTAGACATTATAATTGACTGCGGTCAGGTGGTGCACAGAGTTTTAAGTCATCTAAAATAAAAAAAAACAACATTTTCTAACTTCTTTCTACATGTCAGATGCATAATCCTACTTTGAAAGTCGTAATTTGGAGTTTTGAGGGTAAAACATGACATATTATTAGTATTTTACATAGAAATCTGTATAAATTAATGTCAACCCTGCTTCTAAATTTAAAAATATGTGCTTTCACACAGAAAGTTCATAAAATGACATATTTTGTTAAAATATGCCTTTATAAAATTAAAACTGCCTTTAATATGGGTGTAGATGATTTTACACAATCACCTTTGAAGCGAGAACGCAGCCAGTGCGAACTTCCTCGGATGCATAGCAGACGACATTTACATGCATGGTGATAACAGGTAAAGGTGTTCAATCAGTTATTATTTAAGTATGAGATGATGCAAATTGATGTACTTACCTTGTAAGTATAGCCAAGTATTGAATAGGAATAATTCCGATGAGATATGGCGAGTCACTATGCATTGTCTTAATATATAGCTTGAACGCTATAAATTCAATGAGGGTTATATAATGGTGCCCACCATCAGTCTTATTTTACACAGCCTTCTATCCATCTTCACCGTGGTGCTAATTCTCCTATACCACTCTATGTTCTTATTGATCCTCCACTTGAATTTACAGCATAGTTAAATTCTATGCCAAACCTGTGCTTTCTTGACTTTTTGTAACTTAAACCGTTTGTTTAGTGTTGATAACTGTTACATCTATAGGCGTTTCTCCACTTCTTTTACACAGTTGTAACATTATAACTTCTCACGTTTCACTCATAGGCCTATGAAATTTACCATGGTAGCATTTTTTTAGTTGACAAGTGAACAAATGTAATGCATTGTGGGAAACTAACCACTGGTTAAATCATTTAACCTGTGGTTAACTAACCAGGGGCTAATTTTATTTTGAGCAACAGATATTTGACCAGTGGTTAGTTGGCCAGTGGATACAGAATTAAACCACCGTCTAACCTAACCAGTGGTCAAAATTAACCAATGATTTGAGCAACCCAGTCCAGATGTCTAGGAAGAGTAAGCTTCCCCTGATGACTGGTCACGCCCGCCGTTTTCCTTCTGTATTGATCAGTTAGACGGAACATTCCAAATAATAGTCAAATTTAGTATATAACCAAAAGCTTAAGAAACATGTTAGTCAAATAACGACCCAATGATAGGTTATATTTGTTAACAATGTCATATAAGGACCATAGAATTTACGAAATGCTCACATTTGTTTATCTTTTTAGCTCACCTGAGCTGAAAGCTCAAGTGAGCTTTTCTGATCACCTGTTGTCCGTCGTCCGTCTGTCTGTAAACTTTTCACATTTTCAACTTCTTCTCAAGAACCATTGGGCAAATTTTAACCAATCTTAGTACAAAGCATCCTTGGGTAAAGGGAACTTTAAATTGTTAAAATGAAGGGCCAAGTCCCCTTCCAAGGGGGAGATAATCAAGAAAATACAAAAATTGGGTGGGGTCATTAAAAAATCTTCTTCTCAAGAGCCACTGGGCCAGAAAAGCTGAAACTTATATGGAAGCATCCTGGGGTAATGTAGATTCTAAATTGTTCAAATCATGACCCCCTGGGGTAGGGCGGGGCCACAATAGGGAATCCAAGTTTTACATTGAAATATGTAGTAAAAATCTGTAAAAATCTTCTTCTCAAGAACCACTGGGCCAGAAAAGCTGAAACTTATGTGGAAGCATCCTGGGGTAGTGTAGATTCTAATTGTTCAAATCATGACCCCTGGGGGTAGGGCGGGGCCACAATAAGTACTACAAGGGGGGAGAAATCAGGTGAAAAACAGCAAGGCCAACGTTACTCAGGTGAGCGTTGTGGCCCATGGGCCTCTTGTTGCTTTAATATCCTTAATCTTAAAAAAAGTGGCATTAAAAATGTGTCCTAAGGACATTTTAGTTTCAAAAATAATAAAGATGAATGACGAATATGAATGAGGGATATGAATCTCTCTCTGTTAAAGACATAACTTTCTGAGATATCTTGCAAGGAGACGGTTCCTAATAGAAATAAAATGGGAGAATGACATCTTTGCTTACCAAGTGTTTCTGATTCGCTGCACTCCTCACAAACCCTAGCGGATCAGAAACCCTTGGCTTATGAAGATATACCTTAATTCAAAGTATTATGCATGGCCTGAATCAAAGTTTCTTTTCACTATAGATTATCGGAATAAAATGAAAAGAGTCAGCAATCTGTAACTGTATAAAAGCAAGGAAAATCCTTATCCTCCTGACATTCCAGTTTTAAAACATGAGTATTAACATCACAGTGTCTGTCGAAGATTCCCGATATAACATTCCAGTAATAGGACTAGGGACACCATATTTCTATCTCATTCACATTTTGACTCTTTTTTGTACAATATGTAGCATCACATCTGCAGTTATTATTCTTGTGATATCCTTTCGGTCTAAAACTGCACGCACTTTTTTCAAATCATGGTCGAAATGCGAACGTTTTATTGTTTATTTGGCTCTTTGTGATGGTTTCCCAAGCCTAGTAGCGTTTATGGATCACATTCAAGTGACCATCGCTAAAGACCATGTCCATCCAATTGAGCTGTGCGAATTCTATGGTTTCATCATATTTCTCTTTTGTGCCGCTCAAATGCTCCTTGTATCTCTCATTGCAATTAATACATTTGCTCTCATGGAATTCCGTAAAAATACTGATCTTGGAAAATGTGATTGGAAACTTCATTTCCTAATATTTGGCTTCCCGTTTTTTGGTTGCCTTGGTGTAACTTTTGCAGATGATATCGGACCCATGGGAGCCATGTAAGTACTGATACTTTCTATTGTATTATTTATAAAAGTTAGTTTCAAGTATATAATTCAGAAAATATATCCATTGTTTTGTTAGTCAATGGCCTAAATTTAAGGAAGCTGAATGAAAAAATAAAATTTTGATAGTCTTAGATAATTTTGTTTCAAAGATGCAATCAGATACTTCTAGTAATATATGGCCAGTGGATTAAAATAATGGAAGATGATTTAAATCACTGAAGGATAATTTGATGACTTCCCCACCAAACATTTAAAATTTACTTCAAAAAAGAAATTTATCAAGAAAGTTGACACGGGACATGTGCCACGTGAAAATACTGCTTTTTTAGTTGTCATTTGTTTTTCTACTCTCAGGTGTGGAGTGGTAGGAAAAATCTCCTGCCTGTTTTTCTCTGCGATACCGATACTGGTTATAATGACACTTAACACTGTTCTTTACACACTTACTTGGTACAAAATCAGAATGGAGACGAAAAGAATAAATGGTTAGTTATTTTCATACTTATTTCCATACACAAAAAGATTTTTTTTTATATCCTGAACGAAGTATAACTGAATATTACGTTTTCTTTTTATGTGATTACTTCTTATATATGCATGAATTTTATGTTCATAAAGGCACCATTGATAGCAAATGTCCAGACAAGAAAGCCACTCAGGCCGCCAGGACAATGTCTCTATTTGTGTTTCTCATCAAGTGGTGGGCAGTGGCAGTTTATGGAACCTGGAAAGTTGCTGTCGATGATGTACCTGTAGAAATGCTTATTATTGCCATGATGTTCGCTAATACGGGGGTGTTTTGAATGGAATCGTTGATTTGTACATGTACAAAAGTAAAAAACGCAAGTTGTATCCGACTACTTAACAAACATGAGTAATAAAGGGTAGATTCAGAAATTAGTTAATCTTTTACTCTTGTCTAAAAAAATTTTTGAGTAAATGTTAGATACATCATGTGCTGAGGTAACAATCGCTGCTTTATGTTTATAACTGTAAATAACTTTTTATTCGCGAGAACTTTATTTTCTCCTAATAACGCGAGACGGCTTCTTCGCGAAAATGTTATTTTTGCGTTGAATTATGTAATTTAAGATTAGGGTGAGTTAACCATGCATCGGACACATACCTTGCTTCGGACAACTTCAAGCAATAAACTTTCTTTAAATCTGAGTGTTCCCGTGTTTTTACTTGTTTCTGTCTTGAACTTGAAGATTTAAACTTTTTATTGATGCCGATTTTTATTATCATATTGCGATAAAAATATCCCGAGAATGGCCTTGAAGTGACGTCATATTTAACATCATCAAAGGGGAGTAACCAGAATTTTATGATTTTGCAAATTTTAGAGTTGTTCTTTAATTAGACTTCAATGGAGCGAATCGGACTCAGGTGAAATTTGTCAATGATTGGTAATTTTACACAACTTTTAAAAAAAAATTCATTTCTATGTTTGTATAAATTTTTTTAGAGTTGTTTTTTACTAGTATGTTCATTTCACCATACATCGGACAGAAATTAACCATGCATCGGACACTTTCCGATGCATGGGTTATCACTTCCATTTTCATTCAAAACCTAACTGACATCTTTTTTTTGCGGAAATAAAAATTAAAAACTCAAAATTTTTGGTGAATATACAAGTTATGGATATATGACGTCTAGAAGTGGGCTCAGTTTATTTTTACAAACCAGAGTATGATAACCCACAAGACAAAGGCGCGAGTTGACATATAATAGCATTATAAAGCCTTTCTAATGCGATGTGATGCAACTAAAATATCTCCTCATTTGTGGATCGATAAAGTCAATCAAATTTAACTAGAATGTTAATTTTTGAATAAAAGATAAAAATATTTCAAGATCACTAATTTTAAAGCACCGAGATAAAGCTATGACATTTTTCCGGTTCAAATACCGTTTGTCCGATGCATGGTGAATATTGTCCGATCCATGGTGAAATCTGGCTCATTTAAAAAAAAATGGTTTTTAGTGATATTTTCTCAATAAATAGCATATATTTGTTTCAAAAATTTATATTTTAATCCCATATTACATATTAAGCTCTGTTTTGATAATATTCGATCGGTAGCGATATCGCTAGAACTTGTTGAAGTACGAGGGTGTCCGATGCATGGTGAATTCACCCTATATAGAACAATAACCACCATTCGTGAAAATTGCGGCTAACTTATAAATACAAAATTATTGTCTCCCAAAAGATGTGACGTACAAACATCAATCCAAAGTTTGGCAGACTTGTGACCTTACCATAACTCGAACCCTGGAATATGTTCACTTGAGTATGTTATTGGTCATGACCAAGCCGTAGCTCATATTCTAAGGTCATATTTCAATGTTAAGCTTATTGAGCAATGAGATGGTGGAATGGAATTAGAATCGAAGCCAAATCAAAAAGGCCATGTCATTTAGTGATGAAATCGGGTGGAAAAAATATTATACAGTTGTTGACTGGGGTAGAGGGAAACAGTCGATCTGTTGGACCGGAGTGCAAGCTGTTGCCCAAGGTCGTAGGTCGCGGGCAACAGCTTGCACTCCGGTCCAACAGGTCGACTGTTTACCGAGACTCCTGTGAACAATTGTTTTGTTATACTCCTATACTACTCTTTTGGGAGAGGGAGACTTTTCGTGGTCATTTTTCGTAATTTTAATGTCACTACTTTTAAGTATTGCCTGGATTTTATCCTCGTTCGCCGCAGCAAAACGAACATCGGCCATTTCTGTTTAAAAATCTTAACGACAGGTTTAAATTACTCGGCACTCTTCGGCTGATTACATTTAATTCACTGTTACCCGAATCAGTCGAGGTTTGCCGAATTAGGAAAAGATAACTCAATTTAGCGCCATTTGACGTCAGCAGGCAACAGTCTTTTTTAACAGTCTATTTTAACAGTTCCTGGACCGACAGTCGGGGAAAACAGTCGAACCGTTAGACTTTTTAAAGTAAGAAATTATAAAGGGACTGTTTAGTTAGGGCTATAACAACCTTTTCTATTTGAAAAACCGTTCACGGTAGCTCAGTCGGTAGAGCGCTCGCTCCGTGATCGGGAGGACGTGAGTTCGAATCTCGGCCGCGACTGACCTAAGTCGATAAAAAAATGGGTAGCAACTGTTCCTTCGCCATGCGCTCGGCACTTTGAAGTGAAAGTTGCGGGTCCTTCGGATGAGACCGTAAAAACCGAGGCCTCGTGTCACGGCAGGCGTTGGCACGATAAAGATCCCTCACTGCTAAATGGCCCTTCACCGGTATATGGTGACGTCTCTATATGAGTGAAAAATTCTCGAATGGGACGTAAAACAACATACAATCAATCAATCAATCTATTTGAAAAAAAAAGATCTAAGAGACAATATATAGCATCTTAAAAATAATGTTACCCAAAACTAAAACTAATTCTTATTTCAAAGATAATGATGAAATAAAACAAATTAAGAAAGAGCAATACTCAGGCTAATTTCTGAGGGAATGTTTCAAACTTAAAACATTATTTACCTAACTCTCATAAAACATATTTATGGGAAGAAAGCCATTGTCTTTGTATATTTTTTTTTTCAGCTGTGCAATTTAAAGATGAGGTACAGACCAACCCTGCTCTTGCAAAATCAGCCAAATAATATTCGTCTGTATTTAAAACAGAAAATAAGAATAATGTAAAAATTACAAATCAATAATTTAACTTAAATAATATATTATAATAAATTAATCTTGTATTTGTTGAAAAATATATAATTATATAAAATATTAAAGTCATATGAAGTGCACTGATGATGCAATACACCCTAACCGTAGATTCCTGTATGTAAATTTTCAAACATGTAGATGTTTAATTTCAAATATTTGAAAAAATGCAAATCAGGAATATATATATATATATATATATATATATATATATATATATATATATATATATATATATATATATATATATATATATATATATATATAATTGAAAATAGAAATATCTTTTTTTTTATTAAGAAAAAAATTATATGTATATTTCTTTAGAAGTTCTGTGTGTTTTTACGTCTAAATTATAGAAATTTGACTTTTTTGGACTAAGACTCATTTTTTGGAAAAAAAATAAATGTCATTTCTAAGTAAGGTCATTGAAAAAACAATAATCTCCTTTAAAGTAATCATTTTTAAATACATTTATCATCTTTTCCATAAAAATTAAGTCTTGCCAAAGAAGACAGCAAAGAACTTTTACACATATCAAAACCTCATTATTGAAGATACATGCATGCATCAGCACAATAAAAAACACATATCCATTTTTTTTTTACAAATATTTTAAAATCAGCCTTTTTCAATCTTTTTGAGGTCTTAAAAACAATCGGGAGGATATAGTTAATTGGAGGGTGGGTAAACTGCGCAAGGTAATAGCTATTGGGTTTACAATATGACGACAAACGAGTATGGCTTCACCTTTAAAAACATTTACCCCCTTAAATTAAATAAAATCAATTTTGCTTCGTTTCATCTATTTTTTTCCGAAATGCATGGGGTTTTTTTTCTGTATTTTTTTTTTTTTTTTTTTTTTTTTTTTTTTTTAAAGATAACAGATATTAAGACATGATTGATTATTTTTCAAAGAGAAAAAAGCTTAAGAATTTTAGTTTTTTTTTTTCTTTTCATTCGTTAATGTTAATGTAATCAGTTTAATTTCTTGAAATAATACCGGTATTACAATGCCTTTCATTTCATTAACATTATATCTGCTCTTACACAATTTTACTTTCCACAATTTCACTTTATCTTTTATTTTCCTATATCCTCATTTTAGTAAATCAATTATATCCATGGGCTGAATTTCATCAAATCAAGAATAAAAATTTTTTGTAGGAAATGAAATCCTGTTAAATTTGTTCGATTAGTGGGGATATTATCACAGACTACCACTAAAAAACAAGTGACACCATTTCTTAATTATTTATTTATTAAGTTTGGCATCATATGGCCACGGCTGGTTGCAGATCAATTATTTAAGGTACATGTGTTCAGTGGGTGCCGACCCAATTGGTTTTTGGCACACCTCCAATCAAAGCAAACAATCAATCAATCAATATTAACTGTACACATGTCATTTTTGCACTATAAGACTGGCGTTTGCTTTCCAAATTTTGCGGTGCGCCAGCCTTATAAAACAATATTCAATCAATCAATCAATATTCAATTGAATCAATCAATATCAAGTTCAATCAATCAATCAATAAATTTATCAATTCAATTAATGAATATCCAATCAATTAATGAATATTCAGTTGAATCAATCAAAAAGTTTCAGTCCAATGAATCAATCCATTTTCAATAATATCAATCAATATTAAATCAATCAATCAATATTCAATCAATCAATGTTCAATCAATCAATGTTTCAATATTCAATCAATCAATGTTCAATCAATCAATGTTCAATCAATCAATACTCACTCAATTCAATGAATTGTAGTAAGTTTATGTTTAAGCCAAACAATATTTCAATTAATTAATCAATGTTCTGTGTTAATTATCAAGTCAATTAATTGTTTTCCATCGATAAGTTATCCACATAATCAAGTTGCAGCTGTGCCCTGTTAACAGCGACGCGTGTCAAGATGATTTGTGTTAAGCGCTATACGATGTACATGTATCTCTCCAACTGGCTCTTCGCTCTGTCAATTACAGAGACAATACTGTCCGCATAATAAGATGACCAGCCGTGACGATGGGTGTTGTCTAGTCCTTGATCGATAGTTATCGTGTTGCAGCTTCACCCTGTTTAGAGTCAATAAGCCAATACGA